CTCTTTAGGGAGGTTAAGATAAATTTTATTTGCTATGAACATTATTTAAATCACAACTTAAAAATAATAAATTAAAGAAATATGCACACTAATAAAGGAATTTGTACAAAGGAGGGCCTCAGCCATTACATAGAAAAAAATCCTATACTATGTTGGAGTTGACACGGAGTCTGATGCCTCCGTAGCAGGTGCTTCGATAGTTGGAGCTTCTTGGCCTGAAGTATCATCTTCAAGAGCACCATCTTGGTCCTCTGCTTCCACTACATCATCAGCTGGGGTTTGGGGTACTTTCTCCAAAAGCTATACTCTCAATTTTGAATCATTGAGTTCTGGGTAAAGCTCTCTTACCATCCTGTCTACTACTTCGACATAAGCAAACCTCATCCAATGGGGGACGAAGCACTGATACTCTTCCATCAAATGGAAGTTGGCAATGTAGTCCCTCACACCTCTTCACCTATTTTTTGAGCATCAACATTGGCCAGCTCAGACTCTTTTATATAGTGTCTTATTTGGCTCTCTAAACATCCATTAGCATCCTTGAGCCCAACATTTTCTAAATTGGCATTCTCCAAAGCTTCAGCCGTTAGCTTCTGATGATTGTTTGAAGTTTCAACCTTCTTTATCAAGAAAGCCACTTCGCACTGGGATTCATAGACCTCCGTTTTCAGAGCTTTGATCTCCGCTAAAATAGAATCCAACTTAGCTGCCTTTTCAGCTCACTGGGCCCTCAACTTTTTAGTCTCAAATTTTATTTTCTTCATTTTCTCCTTCGCTGAGGCTAACTTTTCAACCAACTGCCAGTTGCATGTCTGAATCTCTTTCAGCATCTCTTGACATTCAAGGGCCACCCAGAAGCCGTGGCACTTTGGCTGCCTAGGGATGTTGTTAGATCCATTATATCGCAGGTGGAGACATAATTTTGCCACCTCTCAGTCTAAAACTTGTAGACATTAACGTGGCACCCCGGACCTCAGGTAGCAACATCTCCATCACTGTTGGGCAATCTCCTCATCTTATCCAACCAAGAACCTTCCAGACTTTTCGAAGGTCCTCACCATTAGTTCATTTTTCACAGCTTCAGAGCTCTGCTCTACCTCCTTTGTAGCATCTACACTGGCCTCTTTAGCTAATTATCAACATTAAATGAAGCTTACATCACCTTTGAAGGTGGGGTTTGCTTAGCAGCTAGGACATTGGGTGTCCTGAACTTCCCAATGTTGTGGGATAATTTCCTCATTTTTTGAGGCTCCTTCATTTTTCCCTTGCCTTTTGTGGGATAATTTATTACAATCTCATATAAATTTATAAAATTCGTAATTGACTTCAGTGGGTTAGGATCTCATTTGTTATATTAAAATATTCAGTGTACTCAACAAACCTTAATAAA